GAGAGACATTTTGTCCTGGCCAGGTGTGTCGACACACACTGAGATCAGTCTCCAGATGTCTACAAGACTCATCCTGTGACATACATTCTCCAACTCATCTGAAGAACTGTTTCTTGAGGCCGTCTATCCAGATTTCCATCCATAACTGTATTAAAATCACCTCCCCATACAATCTTGGCAGTAGGAAAAGTTGTAATCAGCTGGCTAATTTTATCTTCTACTGTTGTAAATAATAACTTGTTGTCTTTTTTGTTGTTACACGCATATATGTTTATAATAATGAATTGGGAATGATCTACATCACCAACCAGTATTACCCATCTCCCATTTGAATCTGCTAAATGTTTAATAACGTGCCCTTAAAAGTTTCCCTGTAAAATAGCGACCCCTGCTGACCGGTTACTCCCAAATCAAAACCATATATTTTTCCCCCAATGACTATTTTGAAAAAATAAACATTTCCTTTTCAATTGGTCTCTAACACCTCTGGCATTTACAGAAAAAAACAGATACAGACATAAAAACTCAGAACAAATAACGTTAACTGTGTGAACTTCTTTGCAAAAACTGCAGAGATAACTGCTCTAATGTAATCATTAGCTGCTTCAATGTCCCTTATAGACCCCTTTTAGGCCGACGTCACAGTTGGGGTTAGTTTGGTGACGTTTGCTCAAGTGCAATCAATTGAAAAGTAACTTAGTCATCATAGCGAAGTAGCATGATGCTAATCTGTATTAAAAAGCCATAGCCTGCACAACTTAATTCCTATGTTCCACTTAAAACAGTCACCGGTGCTTTCTGTAATATGCATGTACTTGCGGGCGTCATGGTTCGGTGCATAAAAATAAATATGCCAGACTTCCCGGCAGAACAGACCCCCGTGGAACGCTCCACTTTCCCTGGTCCCTTCTGTCGGGGAGCGGGCTTCGACGCATCCGAGCGGGGTAACTCCTGCACGCGTGCCAGTCGACCCGCACCGCTGCCCCTCCGGGGGGACGTCTGTGGTTCGCATGACCCCGTTGGCTCATTTCCTGGAAGCCTGGCTAGCGCTTCCTGGGATATCCCGCTGGGTCATCAGAACGATCAGACTCGGCTACGCGATTCAGTTCGCACGGTCTCCTCCCCGCTTCACGGGAGTTCGCTCCACGATGGTCGGTGGCAATGCCCCAGTCTTGAGAGCGGAGATTGCGACCCTGCTGGCGAAGGGTGCAATCGAGACGGTCCCTCCAGCCAAGGTGAGGTCCGGGTTTTACAGCCCATACTTCACTGTCCCCAGAAGACCGGTGGGTTACGACCGATCCTGGACCTGCGCATTTTGAACCGTTCTCTCCATCGACTACCGTTCAAAATGCTCACGGCCAAACGCATTTTCGAATGTGTTCGGTATCAGGATTGGTTTGCAGCGATCGACCTGAAGGACGCGTACTTCCATGTGTCCATTTTACCTCGACACAGACCGTTTCTTCGGTTTGCCTTCGAGGGCCAGGCATACCAGTACGCCGTTCTCCCATTCGGGTTAGCTCTGTCCCCTCGCGTCTTCACGAAGATCGTCGAGGCAGCCCTTGTTCCCCTTCGCGAACACGGGGTTCGCATCTTGAACTATCTCGACGACTGGCTGATACTAGCACACTCTCGAGCTCAGGTTTGCGAACACAGAGACCTGGTGCTCCGGCACCTAGCCCGTCTGGGCCTTCGGGTCAACCGGGAAAAGAGCAAACTTTGCCCCGTGCAGAGGATCTCTTTTCTCGGCATGGAGATAGACTCGGTCGCCATGTCCGCGCAGCTCACGAACGAGCGCGCGCACTCACTGCTGGCTTGCCTTCGTCAGTTCGAGGGCAAGAGTGCGGTTCCACTGAAACTTTTTCAGAGGCTCCTGGGGCATATGGCATCCGCGGCCGCGGCAACGCCGCTCGGTTTGCTTCATATGAGACCGCTTCAGCTGTGGCTTCACGATCGAGTCCCGAGGTGGGCATGGCATCGCGGCTCGCTCCGAGTTCCAGTGACTCCAGCGTGCCGCCGAACCTTCTTCCCGTGGTCGAACCTCAGCTTCTTACGGACCGGCGTCCCTATTCAGCGAGTTTCCAGGCATCTCATTGTCTCCACGGATGCATCTACCACGGGTTGGGGTGCCATGTGCAATGGGCATGCAGCCGCCGGTTCCTGGACAGGAGCCCAGCGCCTCATGCACATCAATTGCCTCGAGCTGTTGGCAGTACGGCTCGCCCTACACCGCTTCCGAGCGTTGCTCAAGGGCCAGCATGTGCTTGTCCGCTCAGACAACACTACGGCAGTAGCGTACATCAACCACCAGGGGGGTCTACGCTCACGCCAGTTGTCGCAGCTCGCCCGCCACCTCTTGATATGGACTCAGAAGCACCTGAGGTCCCTTCGTGCAGTTTACATTCCTGGAGACCGGAACTGGGCAGCCGACGAGCTGTCCCGGGTCCGTCCCCTCTCCGGCGAATGGCGACTCCATCCCCAGTCGGTCCAGCTGATTTGGGACGAGTTCGGGGAGGCACAGATAGACCTGTTCGCCTCTCGGGACTCGTCCCACTGCGCCCAGTTTTATTCTCTGACCCGCGGCACTCTCGGCTCGGATGCGCTGGCGCACAGCTGGCCACGGGGCCCACGCAAGTATGCGTTTCCCCCAGTGAGCCTCCTTGCACGGGTGTTGTGCAAGATCAAGGAGGACGAGGAGCAGGTCTTGCTGGTAGCCCCCTACTGGCCCACCAAGACGTGGTTCTCCGATCTCATGCTCCTCGCGACAGCCTATTCCTTGGCCTATTCCTCTGAGACAAGACCTACTCTCTCAGAGACGGGGCACTCTGTGGCACCCTCGTCCCGATCTTTGGAGGCTGCACGTGTGGCTCCTGGACGGGACGAGGCAGGTTTGAGTTCGCTGCCACCTGCGGTGGCGGCAACCATCACTTCCGCAAGAGCGTCGTCCACGAGACACCTTTATGCGTTGAAGTGGAACCTCTTCGTCAATTGGTGCTCTTCTCGCGGAGAAGACCCCCGGAGATGTTCGATCAGTGTCGTGCTTTCCTTCCTGCAAGAAGGGTTGGAGCGCAGGCTGTCGCCCTCCACCCTTAAGGTTTATGTCGCGGCCATTGCCGCTTCTCATGAAGCAGTGGAAGGTAAGTCCTTAGGGAAGCACGACCTGGTCATCAGGTTCCTGAGGGGAGCGAGGAGGCTGCATCCACCTCGTCCTCCCCTCGTACCCTCTTGGGACCTCTCGGTAGTTTTAAATGCTCTGCAGAGGCATCCCTTTGAGCCTTTGCAATCGGTAGAGTTAAAGTTTCTGTCCATGAAGACAGCACTCCTGGTTGCATTGGCCTCCATCAAGAGGGTGGGGGACCTGCAAGCATTCTCCGTTGACGAAGCGTGCCTGGAGTTTGGGCCGGCTTACTCTCACGTGATCCTGAGACCCCGGCCTGGATATGTGCCCAAGGTTCCCACCACTCCCTTCCGGGACCAGGTGGTGAACCTGCAAGCGCTGCCCCCGGAGGAGGCAGACCCAGCCTTGGCACTGCTCTGTCCGGTACGTGCTCTCCGCACCTATGTCGACAGAACGCAGTGTTTCAGGACCTCAGACCAGCTCTTTGTCTGTCATGGAGGGAGCCAGAAGGGAAGGGCTCTCTCAAAGCAACGGCTGTCCCACTGGATAGTGGATGCCATTGCTTTGTCTTACCAGCAGCAAGGCCTTCCGTGCCCCCTTGGTGTGACGGCCCATTCCACTCGGAGTGTAGCCTCCTCTTGGGCTCTAGCGCACGGCGCCTCGCTAACAGACATCTGCAGAGCTGCAGGCTGGGCGACACCCAACACCTTCGCCAGATTCTATAATCTGCGAATTGAGCCGGTATCCTCTCACGTACTCGTTTCGGCCAGTTCTGGATCCGCTCAGGTGTCTTCGCTTGCTCGCCACTCCACTCCCCGGACTGGATAAGTGCGATATTTCCTCAGTTCTTCCATTGAAGTCTTGAGTCCTCCAGCACCGACGATGCGGGCACCACTGCGTTGCTCTGGATGCTAGCTAGGTGCCTCCATGGTTCCCCATGGTAACCGTCTCATGTGTATTATCCACTGTAAGCCTCTCTGAGCATGTGTCTTCCCTTGGCAAGCCATCTGCCACCCCTGGAGTTTAAATTAGTAGCCACCTGCGGTTGGTACTCCAGTGTTCCATATGCGTTCCTATGTGGCCATATGTGTATTCATAAGTCCTCCCTTCGGTAGGCAGCTGGTAGCATGTCCCCTTCGGGATATGTTTCCCAGTGTACCTTGGTAATCCTGTGTCAAAGTCGGATCCCAAAAAAAAAAAAAAAAAAAAAAAAAAAGAGGTAAGGCTCGGGGTTCAGTCTTTCGCAGGGCACTGGAAGACAGCTTGAAGATGGCGTGATGGCACAGACCCCCAATCTCCGTCACTTCTGACGTAACTCGAAGTGACTACGAAAGGGAACGTCTCGGTTACGTATGTAACCCTCGTTCCCTGAGTAGGGAACGGAGACGTTACGTCTCCCTGCCACTTCTGCTGTATCGCTGGGTAGATGCCGAGTTCAGTCTTGGCTCCTCAGCGAAGACATACTGCGGTTGCGTTCACTTCCTCCTTTTATACTCACGGAGTAGGGCGGAGTACGCTATGCAAATTTCCGCAGCCCCAAGGCATTGCATGCCATTGGCTCGTGTTTAAATACTCGAAGAGGATTGGCTTTCTATGCGAAATCCCCCCAATCTCCGTCACTTCTGACGTAACGTCTCCGTTCCCTACTCAGGGAACGAGGGTTACATACGTAACCGAGACGTTTTTAATACCTTGTCATTTTGTTCATACAAGGACATTATACAAACTGCAATGTGTTAACTTATATTTGTTTACACTTGCAATAAAACACAACATTGTGCTTTTGTCAAACAAATTCTTGCGTGTTTTGAGTGAGTTTCTTTCCTGTTTATGCTCGCCAGCCATAATCTCTGTCGTTGTTCGGACAAAAGCTTAGTCTTCTCACATCCATGGAGTCTCATGACGGGTATAGTGTAAAATCCAGATTTAACTGAACATCCGGCACGATTTTATCATCCATTGACCCAGCAGGAGATGACCATTTTCACTTTATAGCACGAAACTCATATCACTTCGTTCAACTCGTATTGCTTCTTCAAATGTTTTGCCCTCAGCAATGGCGCCGGTTCGGCAAATGCCCATATGATGTGACGTCATGTGGGAACTATGTATTTTGAGCACCCTCACTATTTTCAGAAGCACCCTCAGTGATTTGGTTCTAGAACCGGGCCTGCCCTCTGCTGGTTCAACACACACACATTCAGGCTCTATATTTACTCTAAAACTCCAACATTTTTAATATACTGTGCATTATACAAATAAAAAGGTTAATCTATGAATGAGAAAATGTAATTTGCTGTGAAATAAAAAGTATTTCACTGCCGCCTCATCAGGTCTGTCAGAGGTTGAAATCTAAATGAAGTCTTAATTTCTAACAGTGAAGTCACTGTATCTTCAGTCTCTGTTGATTCTGTTGACTGTGAGTCTCTGTAGTGGATCCTTATTCACCATCAGATGATCAGCAGAACATCAGACTGTCATCTAATACCTAAAATAAAACACACAAACAGTCACATATGCAGTACGAGATATTACATCTGTCACATCTTTACATCAGAAAACTAACTAGATAATCTATATTAATTCCTTCTCCAACATGATAATATAGCTTCTATCTGATGCTCAAAGTCACTTTACAAAATCAAAAGCACATGAAAGGTCACTTTCACACAACGGACAGCTGATCCAGAACCAGCAGAAATCATCATTAGACTCACTACAGATTTAATATCAGTTGATAACAACCCAAATCTCAGATTATCAGAGAGAGTTAAAGAGGAAAAGCTGAAAATAACATTAATATTACTCTCACAATCAGTCACAATAGTATGAGCAGAATTAAACTAATTTATATTCTCTCTCTCTCTCACACACACACACACACACACACACGCGCACACACACAAGTTTGTTACTGAACTTGAACCTTTATTATTATTTCTAGCGAGTAAAACAAGTAAAACAGATTTGAACTTTAAATGAAAACATGATGATGAAAATTGTTAAGAACTATTCTTACCATAGTTTCTCCAGTTTATAATGTGGATCATCCTTCAGATCCTTCAGCTGCTTCACTCCTGAGTCTCCTAGTTTATTCTTATACAGATCCAGTTTTCTCAGGTGTGAGGGGTTTGATCTCAGAGCTGAACCCAGAGCAACACAACCTTCATCTGTGACTCCACAATACCTCAACCTGTAGAGAAAAATGACACACATTAAGCCTATATCCAGAGATAAACACATCACTTAAACTATAAATAACATAATGATGTCAATATGAAATATTCATGTGTGTGTGAGAGAGAGAGAGAGAGAGAGAAGTATATGTATGTGTGTGTGTGTGTGTGTCAGTGGCACAGCCATCACACACACACACACACACACACACACACACACACACACACACACACACACACACAAACAAACAATCATTACAACTGCACATCCTTTGGGGTATAAATAGCCTAATGTATTGTGAAGCAATATTTTCATCAGTGTGTTATATTTACCCCAGGGCATTATTTACCTTTATAAAGGCACTGCTTTAATTTTACCTTGTTAAATGTATGCATCATCTTTCATGTCAAATTCTTAAATTTGATCAATAAATTCAGTTAAAATAATACCAATTAAATTTGTTACTAATTAAATGATATTATATAGTCTAAACACTGCAAAATTGCAACTGCAATAAATAGACTAATGTTATGAGATTGATGTTTTAAATAAATGTTTAAATATACAAGAAAAACTTAAATAATACTTGTGTGTGTGTGTGTGTGTGTGTGTGTGTGCGTGAGAGAGAGAGAGTGAAAGAGACCAACTAAGGGAAAAAAGCATTGCAGTAAATCGCGCTGATTAAATCTAACGATTGTTTATCATATCATGTCAAACCATGCAAATTATACTTTGTTCTCAAATTGTTAATGTTGAACGTCAGCATTGCGTGACTACATGTAATGTCCTTCTGATATTATCCTTGTGTTGGCATGGGCCGCTGCAGTCTCTTTCCCCAAACTCTCAGTCAGAGTCTTCTGCATGTTACAGCGGTGAGTCTCCAGGTGTCTCAGGTGATTGTCTTTTGAACCTTTCTGGATCCGCCATCAAATTAATTAGTTTAATTATATCCAATGCTGTGAGAAAAGGCTATAAATCTCCACCTCCTGCATCTATACACTATCTACATATTAACCTTTCAGGCGCCAGAGGTTTTTTCCTAAAACGTTCGATTTTGACATCTTAATTTCAAAAGGCTTTATCTTAAAAGTGAAAAAAAGATTATGTAAATTAGAGGGAAGTGTAATCCCTACATAAACTTTTGGTCGTCCTTAATATTTCTCTAATTTGCATATTATGACATCATATTGGGCAGCAATCTTGGATTAGAGGATTTTCATGAAAAGTCACATGTTTAAATGATAAAATGCAGCACTTCTTTCCCCCCAAAATGTCCATCACCTTCTGTATGCTATATTGCACAATACTGAATGCTCAGGTATATAGTAAGTAGTAATCAAACTGATGTGTAAATCATTACTAATAAATGGTAAAACAAACCATATGCATGCAGTGGTTGGCCTTTTGCTGTAGAGATTTTCCATTTACTACATACAGTAGGCACTCTGATTCCATGTATGAGGCACAGCACACACACACACACACACATATATATATATATATTAGGGGTGTAACGGTACACAAAAATCACGGTTCGGTACGTACCTCGGTTTTAAAGTCACGGTTCGGTACGTTTTCGATACAGCAAAAAGAAAGAAATGCCAGAGAAATTTCCTATTTGTTTAAAGAAAAAATATTTTTAAATGAGTGTGAGTTTTCCTAGATCTTGAAACTTTCAGGTTTATAAATGGGGGTCATCTTTGAAGGATGAACAAACAATGTTTTGGTCATCACAGACTCAGAAAAAAAAGGAACAAAAGTTGTCAGTGGGGCTGTACCTTTTCAAAAGGTAAACTTTTGTCCATTTCATGAGCTAATAAGTACATTTAGGTGTTAATATGTACATTTTGGGTGCTAATATGTACATTTTAAGTGTTAATATGTACATTTAAGTGTTAATATGTACATTTAAGTGTTAATATGTACATTTTAGGTGCTAATATGTCCATTTCAGGAGGTAATATGTCAATTTCATGAGCTAATATGTCCATTTTAGGTGGCAATATGTACATTAAAGGTACTAATATGTACCACTAAGGTACCAATATGCAGTCTTTGGGTACAAAAGTGTACCTTTTGAAAAGGTACAGCCCCAGTGACAGCTTTTGTACCTTTTATTTTCTAAAAGAGTGCATTAAAAATAACATTTAAATATATATTTATTTATATAATATTTTAATTTTGAAGTGCTGGAAAAAGATGTGTGAAGTACTTGAAAGGATTTCACCATTCCAGCCAAACTGGTTCCAGTTAGTGTTACTATATTAAATCCATGGTGAATGTTGCTGGTCTGTGGACGAAAGTATTACTAGTTCATTCACGGCACAATGTTTCTCCTGGTTTCCATGACAGCGCTGTTTGATCTAATAGAGATCTAACGTAGACTAACCATGTTCCGTACACTTTTAGCCTATCACCGCACGTCAGCGACCATTCCTCTGTTTCTGAGAGCGAGACTAGCATGTTTGTGTGATCATTCTCCGGGGGAATATCCATTGATTGGTCCACACTTTGATTGATGTCTTTTGGACCAATCGTTTTTGAGAAAAGTGGGGAAAACTACCTCCTCCACCTGTGTACGGAAGATGATAAGCGTTAACGATGTTCCGTACAGGCTTATAATGGTGTTCCGTACAGAGCGCATAACTTGATTTCAATGGCGAAAATGGAAAATTAACTGATCAGCTCATCAATTTTAATGTTAAAATATTCAATCCATGTAACAATTTATGTTAATATTAACTTAATTGACTCTTTATGAATATAAACATTATCACTGCACTGCTGACAGACGCGCTGCCTTTTTTGCTGCCTGAGAGTGGCGCTAAACGGTCATCGGCCGCAATCTTTTAAAAAATTCCCATTTCACAGCATTTAGTCAACAAAAGGGTAATATATTTAACGATTTGAGATGACATAATATTAATTTAATAAAGACTGCTATACTGGGAAAAGCATAAATGACATTGAAATGTACATTTTCGCTGCTCTAGTTGTCTCCCCACTCAAGCCGCTGTCTGATGACGTAGCTTGCCCACGGATTATTTTCAAGTGAAGTGGGTGTAATTTGTAAACTTTATTGGTACCTGGCAAACTTACTGAAATATCACTGAAACAAACAGCTGGAGTGTCTCTGTTTTGATCGGGGATGAAAGAGGGAGAAATGAAGATGACACAGATATGCATTTTGCGTATGACCTAGAAGTATTTATTCAGCAATTGGCAGTTAAAGTTAATCTGTACGGAACATCGTTGTTGTACGGAACATGATTAGTCTAGGTTACGGCTAATAACGGAGAAATGTGAACGCTTCTCACTAGATCTCGCAGCGATGTTATTACCTCAGTGGCGAATTCAAATGTTTTCTTTACCGGATCTCTAGCGCTGTGTAGTAACAGTGTCACTTGATCGAGATCGGCTTGCGCTGCACAGATGTTGCTGGTCCGAACTGATAAACGATCCATGAAGCACATAATGAGTAGCGCAGTTTCGTTCTGCTTTCATTACGCTTGCCATTTGATGTTGCGCAACGTTGTGTTGGCCGCGTCAGCACGAATTTTGCCGGCAGGAAAAATGGTCCAAGCAGTCGTTCGGTTTGTATGCGTACCGAACCGGAAGCCTCGAACCGAAACGGTTCAATACGAATACATGTACCGTTACACCCCTAATATATATATATATATATATATATATATATATATATATATATACATTATTTAGGGGTGGGCGATATGGCAAAAATATATCACGATTTTTTTAGGAAAATCACGATCACGATTTTTTATCACGATTCTTTTTCAAGTTGGTTTTAATATTTTGCAAGTGGCTGTTCATTACAGCCAAATGAATGTCCCTATGTTGAAAACAAAGCCTTAGGTAACAAAACAAAAAAGAAAGGCATACATTTAGGCCAGTGGCGAAGATCAAAATCTTTGTCATTATTTTCTTTGTTATTAAAAAATAAGACAAGATGAACATTACACAAATTAATATTCAAATTAAATAAATAGTTGTGGTGAGCAGGACGGCCGAGGGACATGAGAGAAAGTTGCGAGGCCGGTGGTGCGATTGCTAATGAGCAGCACCTGTGAAGCACACCGGTCTCGCATCTCTCACGAAGGAGCGGAGCCATAAAGGGGGAGCGACGGAGTGGATGATCGAGAGAGGAACAGGCCTGCTTTTGTTTGTATTTTATATTTTATTTGGTAAGCCAGCAGTCGTCCGTGAGGGGCTGCTGGCCGGTATTTTATATTTTATTTTAGGTAGCCAGCAGTCGTCCGTGAGGGGCTGCTGGCAGGTAATTTGTTTGTTTATTTTGTTTAAATAAAGTTTTATTTTTGAATATTATCCGGTTCCTGCCTCCTTCTTCCCTGAACCTTGCTACAAGTGCTATATTTTTTCAGATGCAGTAGGTGTGTTTAGCAGTTGCACTGAAGAAAGTAATTAAATTTACAAATATGAAATTAAAACACTACATAGACTTCACTGAATAAATTATTGATTCTTATTAAAGCTACTATTAAAGTTCTCAGTCAGTGAGTGATTTTCTCCTTGTGTTTTGTTTGTTTTATTAACACTAAAGGGATAGTTCCCTCAAAAATGAAAATGGTCTTAATTTACTCTCTCAAGATGTTTTAAACCCAAATAAGTTTCTTTCTTCTGTTGAAAATAAAAGTTATTTTGAATAATGTGGGTAACCGAACAGTTGCTGGTCCCCAGTGTATAGTTTTTTATAGTTCCTTTCCTGGAAGTTAATGGGGACCAGCAACTGTTTGGTTACCCACATTAAAAAAATCGTCTTTTGTGTTCAGCACAAGAAAGATATTAATACAGGTTTGCAACAACATTAGAGTGAGAAAATAATGACAGATTTTTTTGTTTTTTGTTGTGAACTATCCCTTTGAGGACAAGCAGCAGTAGGCTACTATTTATTCCTGTCGCTCTTAGACCAGCACGCGACGCGTTTAATATAGATGCATTTTACACCAGATATTCTCTTAAATGTTTACTTTCACTTTAGGCATAGCCTGTTTATGTAAACATTGTGTGTATTTAACAGTATTAGCATAATAAGACTCGAAAGATAACTTCAGTTAGATAAGATAAGTCCAGTATTCAGGCGCTGTTTGACAAGCTTCTGGTGCCTGTGAGCATCGGGGGTGTGCGGTCAGGAAAGCGCACGTTAGAACAGCGCATCAGCGTGTGAATTAAATGTTTAACCGGCAAGGCTTATGCAAGTAATGAACTTTTGTGAATTGCAGTGTCCCGTACCTATTCATTAACGTGTGATGTGTAGGCTACGTCGGGTTGTACAGTTGAGACGGAGCCAGAACTGAACTGATAGAATGCACTGAAACACGATACTACGATATTTCTTCAAAAGCAGTTAAAAATCGTCATATCGCACACCCCTAATATTATTCATATGACACACAAACACAAGTAGACAAAACCTGTTTAGTTCAAAAGATCACTTGCGACGGCAAGGCACAGATCATGAATGAGATGAGCGCGGTATGCAGTATGCACACTATTGCGACTCCCCACCCTGCCTTCACGTTGCCCCCTATCTGTACTATGAACACTTCGACCTCGTCTAACATACCCAGTGATAATAGACAGACTCCACCACAATACTGTCACCACGATTGCTGAGAGGCTCTGATGAAATGGCTCACTCTCATACTAGCTCCGTTGTTGATCACACTGATTCAATGCGCTGTAACTCGAACATTTTGTATAGAAACATGGCGTTTGAGTCGGCGATGAAGTATGACATGTCTGCCATCCAGTGGAGGGGAGGTCGAACGAAATTTGATACCCAATTTGACAAAATTGGCCGTTTTATTCAGTGACGCATCTTGTCGAGTAAACACGACCGTGGCGCCTAGAGGGTTAATCCTTATTCACTCAGAGTCTTTATGGTAGAGATGATCTTACCACAGTTTCTCCAGTTTACAGTGAGGATTCGCCAGTAGATCAGAAAGCTGCTTCACTCCTGAGTCTCCTAGTTTATTATCAGACAGATCCAGATCTCTCAGGTGTGAGGGGTTTGATCTCAGAGCTGAAGCCAGAGCAACACAACCTTCATCTGTGACTCCACACTCCCTCAACCTGTAGAGAACAATGACACACATTAAGCCTATATCCAGAGATAAACACAACACTTAAACTATAAATAACATAGGCAAGGCAAGTTTATTTATATAGCACATTTCATACACTATGGCAGTTCAAAGTGCTTTACATAGAGAGGAAATAATCACAAAATAAAAGCAAGGAAAATTCAAACAGTTATTAAAAAGCTTTACATAGAAAGGAATTATAATAATCACACTATAGCAATTCATAGAGTTTTGCATAGTTTTTGCATAATAAAAGCATGTTTAATAATGTATTTGTAAGCATTTTTAGGAATGTGTGTGTTTGTGTCTGGGAGAAAAAAATAATATTCACCATTTTATTTTGTTTATGATTTTAAATTAAAAATATGCATTCCAGAAATGACTCAAGTTAAATTGCTTTATTTTTGTTGTTGCTTATAGACGAGGTTGACAGAAGTTCGCCACTCTTGCTCCAACAGAGGATGAAACGTGTCGTTATCAGTGGCAGTTCTACATTGAATTACACCCCGGGCGAGACCCCCCTTCGAGCACCTCCACCCCCCACAAAATTCTGCAGTTATAATTTATTATAACAAGATAAGTGCACAATGCTTTGTGATATTATGAATGAAATGTGTGTTATTTAGAAGAAAGTTGAGGTGGTGTGACTGGCTTTAGCCCACTAATTATTCGTGTAATTTGAGAGCTACTTCTTAAAATTGAAAGTGGCAGAGCTATTTGTGTAATACAATACTTAAATCTCTTAAATAATGCCTCATAACTACTCTATTAACAACTATCCAAACTGTTTTAGAAATAAAAGAGTTTTGTAGGCCTGTATATCACTATTAAATGTCAGAGAAAATAACAGAATCAGAGATTTTTTATAAAGAAGTGTACTTTGCATATTATACTGTAAAAATACATACTTATAGTTGAGTTTAGTTGACCATAACTACAGATGAAATGGCATGAACATTTAGTTTCATGAATATAGTGACCAAAATTATCACGTTTATCACAGAATCCTGTTCAAAAGGTACCACTACACAGTGAAATCAATTCAACAAGTTTTATGTAGAAAACTAGCAATTAATAAATAAAATTAGCATCAATATGCACTTTTTGTTTACATAAACATTAAAATAATAACATTAAAAATGATGGCAGATTTCAAAAGAGTGTCTTGCACCGTGTTATCTACTAAAATGTATGTACAAGTTTAAATAAAGTTGACAAAAAAGGTTGTATAAAAAGATAAACCTCACATATTTCAGCATTTAAATATTTTTTTAATAAAAAGAATGAGTCAAAAAAAGATAAATTACTGACATTTATAATGCACATTATCAAATATTTTAGTAAATTTCGGTCTGATTTTCCCATGGCGTCTGGAAAGAAAGTTTTGGTAGCTAATGGATTTGCTCCACCGAAAAACGCTTGCTGTCGCTCTGCTAAAAGATTTATTTATGGAGAAGAGAAAAACGCCAGTAGTGTTTGAGTACACCCCCATCCTTCAAGTTGACCTTTTCATTTTACTGCACCTGTAAAAAATTGAACGTCGCATGAACAATGAGCACGCCTACATTTGAACGAACTTCAGAGCGCAAAATACACGATATGTAAACGGTCCCTTGAGCTGGTAGCTCGCGAGCCCTGTGATAGATAATAGAAAACTGCTTTGCGGCGCAGAGGAGTTTCTTTCATGCATTCCGCCCCAAAAAATGCCGCCCCGGGCGAACGCCCAAAACCGCTGGTCATTATCTATGAGTGTCGTGATATAAGAGATAAGACAGTAGATCTGCACGACACACACACACATGATATTCTTCCAGTTCCTCTGTCTATTAAACCTTTGATCAAATCATCTCGCAACATTTTAAATCTGTGTTGGCGCTGCCGCTGACCCAGAGAGAGTTGTCATGAAACAGCTTCACAAAAGGTCCCTTAAACCTCATAATAGTATCAATATTTCTGTTAGGGCTGAAACGATTCCTCGAGTTACTCGAGTTACTCGATTACAAAAATTCCTCGAGGCAAAAAAATCTGCCTCGAAGCCTCGTTAAATTCCTATGACGCGCACTTTACGCGCACGCAGGGATCTGATTGTTTCACACGGACCGTTGTTCAGGAAGCACTCCGTAGCGCATGAGACATTTGACTTCATAAATGGCAGAGAATGTTTGACAGAAGAAAGTTTGTGATCAATATATGTTTATAAAGGGAGAGAACAAGATGCAATGTGTCTACTGCGAAGTAGCCCTATACCTGGCAGGGCTGCCAACTCTCACGCATTCAGCGTCACGTTATACCCCCGATTTCTCACGCTGAAGTGTCAATCCCTTCAGTCAAAAGCCTGAAAGATGAGTTTGTCTAAAGATCTACCTGTTGAGTCACTCGTGATCGACTAGTTTTACCGCCGCATATTATTTCGCAAGTTAAAATATCCTGTAATCTAGTGCGAGCGCGCATGCGAGATGTTGAGCTCATAACCGCGGCTCGCGCACGACGGCAGAGAGGTAAGCGAGCGCATGCACCCATGTCTCTCTCACGCGCCAGTCAGACCAATTGCGGCGATTCATCATACTTAAACTTTTATGTAGTCACGCAACTAAAATTTCAGCATACATTCACTGTATACACCGGGACGTGATGGAGGAACAAATATTGTGAGACACACACTGATGTTTGTCTTGAGATTACAGTTGAAAAAGTCTGATTCTTATTTATAATCGTTTTATTTCCATTTGTTTTGTTTTTTGAATAAATTGTATACATTTGTGTACCTATTTGGGTTGATATTTTATATTAATTTATTTTTGTTTCCAGGTTGGTAATTTGCGGAAGGTGCAATCCTTTTTTTGTAATGTTGTATTAAGAAGACAAAACTAAGGCCAAAATGGGCTTTACTATTTAAGTTTGTATTCAAAGTTGTACATGTTATGGGTTACATGTGACAGGTTTTACAGTAAATTGTTTTAACTGTATTGTTATATAATTGTTGGCACTGGCACTTATAAACACTAAATGGGTAAAAATTGCAATAATTAGTTGTGGAGCCAAATGTTGGTGTTGGAATAAATACCTCTATTTTTTTTAAAGAAATAAAAGGCAAACACCTTATCATTTTAGTAATACATTTGTTTTGGTTGCTTAAAAACACAAACAAATTATCCGATTACTCGATTAATCGATCGATTAAGTGCTAGATTAATCGATTACAAAAAGAATCGATAGCTGCAGCCCTAATTTCTGTGATACAATAGTTCAAATTATCAGGGAAGTACTGGGATAAAAGTTTAAAGCTCAAATATAAACACTGATGTCTACGGTAGCGATCACAATAGAGTAAATCAGCTTTTAATAGAAACTTGGCGCTTGATTTGATTTGATTTATTGGTTTATTTAAAAGGGGACAGTGCAATTTCACAAAACGTATGAACAAACATGGTTAAAAAAACGCTTAAATGGTTAGTTCACCCAAAAATTACGTCATTGCACGAGAACTGAACAAGAAGTAGTAGAAGAAGATCACAATTCTCGCGCATGCGTCGTGGAAATCTCTTGAACTCTCGTCTCAGGCCAACAAGGAAGAGAAGGAATAGTTGAATAAAGTCATTATTTTTTGTTTGTTTTTTCGCACAAAAAGTATTCTCATCACTTGATAAACTTATAGTTGAGCCACTGTAGTCACATCGAATATTTAAACATTTTCTTTAATGACTTTCTGGGCCGTCAAGTTTCTATCCCTTAGGAAGCCTATGTAGCAGTGATCCAGCTCTCAAATTTAATCAAAAATATCTTCATTGTGTTCCGAAGATGAACGAAGGTCTTACGGGGTTGGAATAACATGAGGGAGAGTAATTAATGACTTAATTTTCATTTTTGGGTGAATTATCCCTTTAAAACAACACATTTATCGATTACATTGTTTCTCCACTAGGTGGCGACAAGTGACTTAAAAATGTATTTGTTATTGAATTATTTATTCAAGAGAATGTAGAACTGTATGATGCTCCTGAAATAAAACTCAAAGATGAGATTAACTGTTTTTGTAAATATGACTCATCTTATTCATCATGTACAGCAGGGGTGCCCACACTTCGCTTGATGATCTACTTTTAAAATGATATCTACCAGCTAAAAAACACAGTTTAATTGAAAAAACACACTTGTGTTATAACAAATGGTTGTTGCTACTACTGCATGTTATCTTGTACTGAAGGAGAAAAATAATAATAAATGTTCATAGTTGATATTAAATGTGAACACTAAACTCAAACACCTCCAGCACAAGTGACTCCAATAGCCAGGGCATTTGCCTTATTCTGATGACTTGCACTGAATGGGATCAGACAGTTGTGTATAATCCGGGCAGAAGCTGCTGATAGCTATTCTCAAACAGGCCTTCATTGGCATTAGTCATGGTGGACCGGTGTTTGATTTAATAATCTTCATGTGAGAAAAGGCTGATTCACATTAATAGGTTGAGCCATAAAGTGCAGTTAATGAGGTGGCCCATTTTCTGATATTTGGATCCTTTTCTTCATCAAGAAGGTTCCAGAACCGTCCCCTGGCCCTCGCCTTCACCTGAATGTCAGTCTGCAGTGCTGAAGTCTCATCCTCCAATGCTGATGGGTTCATCTGAAACAGCTTTCCCATGTCTGAGGCCAGAGAATCAACTTCAAGGGTTAGTTCACCCAAAAATGAAAATTAAGTCATTAATTACTCACCCCCATGCTGTACCAACCCCGTAAGACCTCCGTTCATCTTCGGAACACAAATGAAGATATTTTTGATTAAATTTGAGAGCTGTATCACTACCACATAGGCTCCTAAGGGAATGACTCTTGACGGCCCAGAAAGTCAATAAAGGAAATGTTTAAATATTCCATGTGACTACAGTGGCTCAACTATAAGTTTATCTCATCGCTTGATAAACTTATAGTTGAGCCACTGTAGTCACATGGAATATTTAAACATTTTCTTCATTGACTTTCTGGGTCGACA